GAAAATAATACAAAAAACAAAAGACGCAATGAATTACTGAGTGTCAGAGAATATGAGAAAAAATTATTAAGAAAATACAATAAGAAAAGAGGTTGACACTATTTACATTATTCGGGCTATTGTCCTCATCTTTGTCGCCATATTTATTACAACGTTTCGACCGTTGTACACTCCGGCCTTCTTCAAGTGGTTGGAATGTCGAACTGAAACCTTTATTTCGCTCACTGGGGTAGACTGTTCTAGTTCCACATGCCGTGTCTAATGGATGTCAGTTATCAGTTATCTACTGTTAATTCCCTCTCCAAGTTCTCCACTGCCTTAACCGGGTATTGAACTCACACTCTTTGGGTCCTGTCACTGGATCTAGCTAACGTCTTTATCCAATGTGCCATGTGTCCACAACGACAATACCTAGTTAAGGCAGCGGAGAACTTGGAGAGGGGAATTAACAGGAGATAACTGATAACCGACATCCATTAAAACATGGTACATGGAACTAGAACAGTCTACCCAAGCGAGCGAAATAAAAGGTTCAGTTCGACATTCCAACCACCTGAAGAAGGCCGGAGCGTACAATGGTAGAAACGTTGTGATAAATATGGCGACAAAGATGAGGACAATTGTCCGAATAATGTAAATAGTGTACATAATACCTCATCTCAGAAATATAAACAGATACCAGAGAAGTGGAATTAAGAAGACAGAAAATAATTTTGTTCCTTATTTATTGATTTGACAAAACAATTACAAGACCTCTTTATTTTTCCTAATCGTATTTTTTGCAATTTGAACTCCCTAACCAGGTTAAAGGAGGCACGGTGGAGTAATGGATAGCGGCTTGGATTGAGGAATCGGAGAGCCGAGTTCGAATTCCAGTCGAATCCATTACATTCACTTATGTGCTAACACCCTTGGGAAAGGTGTGAATCCTCTTTCTTCTCCCTCCAGCTATGGGTAAATAGCAGGACAGACTAGGTTCTATAGCCTTGGATGGCAACTGGTCTAGGAGAAGGAAAACTCTGAATTCAAACCTGCTCTTAGAGGAGGGTAAATGGAGTCTCTCTGAGCCTTGGTTGGCAATCCATTTAGTGTTGGTGTCACGATAAAAAAACACCCTTGATAGCCCTAGCGAAGCATCAAGAATTCAGCTATTTGACAAGATTATGAACTACACCAATCAAAGTGTTGGTGAGTTCAATCTCGGCTGTGGCCGCAAGATGATGTTACCAGGTTATCTTGCTAATCTTATTTCCTGCAATTCGAACTCCCTATACCAGGTTATCTTGCTAAACATATTTACTAATGTTAATCTAGTTTATTGCGATGAGGCTTGAAAATGCACCAGTAGCATTATTTTGTGAAGCTAATTCGCTAACAATTATTCTATGGCGAATTTGTCTCTCACCCCAGACCATGCACTTAGTGGCACAAACAAGGGTGCCAGGTGCAGGGTTGAGCTGATGTGGAAGCTGCTGAGTGCAGAATCCTGTAACCAGATCAACAGCAACTGGGTTGCAAGCCACAGGACAAATATAGTTATGTAAGCATCCAGCTGGCTATTAGATGGGTGGTCTCGCAGACATCGCAGTCGAGAATGTAAGGTCCGCGTTTCAGATGAGAGGCCCCGAGCTGCGCATACGCACACTGGTCGGCGATTAAAGAAAACGTTTAAAGAGAGAGTCAAACCTCGGGTTATCGTTAAATCAGTCTAGATATCTTGTCCCCAAGAACTGCCTACTTTATGGAACAGATTCACGAATTGGTGCTTCTCTGGGCTATTCAGCTCTGATTTGTTATCTTATCTATTCTCCATATCCTCATAATCTTCACTTCCTACTACTTTCGCTTCAATTTGTATCACACATCTCATTAGTCATTAAAATTTTGAGTGCAAATCTTTACCTTGAATGGGTCACGTGTCTTGTATTGGTTTAAGCTGAGTACGAAAAAGTCGACTAACTTTTAAGTTTAATATGACAATGGATAAAACTGTTGGCAAGTTAGTAAAAATCGAACTTCCTACTGCAACATGAAGTCGCTAGCCATTGTTGCACGGCGCGCAATCTCACTTAATTTACTAAATGTTAAACTCATCTAATTAATATACAGGATAATGTGTACGAAGTTAATAACACCAGTATAATATCAGTATGAATCGAATATAATGTCCATAATGAACTTTTGTACGAGGAAGTTGATCTGTGATGACGCCATTACGTAATGGGCTCAACCCAGATAATACCAAAATAGATATTGGTTTGGTTTGGTTTGGTTTAGTTTGTTTTACAGCTTATCAACCTCAATGGGTTATTTAATGCCGACAAATTTTTTATCATATTGTTTTTTCTTTTTTCAAAAATGTATTGTTAGTATAATTCTTTTCCCCAAAATGTATTGCTGATAATTTTTTTCAGAAATGTATTGCTAGTAATATTGTTTTTCAAGAATATATTGCTGGAAATATATATTTTTTTAAAATATACTGCTGGTAATAATTTCTTGCGGGGAATAATTTTATCTTCAAAACTGTATTGCTGGTAAAAGTTATTGCTGGTATTAAAACCTATTTTTATACTTCCATACTGTTTTGACCCCAGTTTGGGGGTTAACTATTTGTCCATAGCTGGGACCCTAACAGGTTCTACCACCTCAGGTCAGGGTTTGAGCTGGGAACACCAGCAATTAAGAGGTGGTTCCACGCTCTTCAAAACCTCCTGATCAAAGGAGTTGCTGTCGGATGTAGTTTATCATCTTACCTAGGACGCGGATGTAGTTTATCGCCATACCCAGGACGCGGATGTAGTTTATCGTCTTACCTAAGACGGATAGGCATTGTACTCAGTGTCTTACCATAGCATCAGAGCAGCCCGATGCACCAACGTGTTGACCTAGAAGGGGAACTTCTAGCAACCAGGTATATATCCATGTCTTCAATGGATAACAGTGGCTACTCTCGACATGTAAGCAGATGGTCGATCCAGTACGTGGGACAAACGAATGACAGACAGATATATAAATGCTCCACCCAGGGGGGAATAGGTAAAATATCCCATATTCTTGTGAGAAGAATCTACGTTCGGAAAAATCCCCGAATTCAAACACCCATAAGCTGATATTAATTGACGCAATGAAACATAATTTTTACGAATAAGAGATTTATTCAAGTGTAGAACGATAACTTAAAATAATTACACTGCAGCCAAAAAGGATCGAACTAGCTACAATTTTTATTAACTATTTCTGTACGGTGAGACGCCCAACTCCTCCCTTTTTCCGTTTTTCTTCTTTTCGTCTTCTTACTAAATAAAAAAGACTATATCGAGTTGGAATTCCGTTTGAAGTTTTTTTTTTTCTGTTCACTGTAACTAAATTCATGTTAAAGCGGCATGGAGTCATTTCTCCCTGCCGTCGCCTCTCTCTGTCTTTTCTACAAATACTTTCATGGTAATTGCTCCGATGAGCTGCTTTCACTGGTCCCCAGACTCCATGAATTCAAGCGCCCTACGAGGCTGGCATCCCGCTCCCACCCTTACACTGTAGAAACTTTTTAAATGTAGCCATCTCTTCTACTCCAATAGCTTCATACCTCGCACCTCTCGCCTGTGGAACACCCTTCCCAATTACTGTTTCCCTGAGAGCTATAATCTCCAACTATTCAAATGTAATGTCAATCGACACCTCCAGTTACCTTGATCTGCCCACTATACCTCTTCTCATCCTTTCTTCTATCACTCCTATCTGCTCTCGCTCCAAATCTTCTGCAACCCCCTGCATTCTAGTGGCTTCACGGCTTGTTCGGGGCATAATGCTTAAAAAAAAATGTCCCATCTGCAGAATGTTCATATTGATCAGGTTGTTGAAAGCAAAGACTCCATACAGCTCTGTTCTATTTGTCATGTGATATTAGAAATGGTAATGTGCACTTCCAAATCAACCCTCTACCGTCTGAGATGCGATGAAGGACAAAAGTCCAGTAAGACGCTTCAATGACTTACGGGTTAGAGAAACACCAAATGAATCCTAAAACTGGATGAATTGTTCGTCTGCTTTGCGATAGCAACTTTTTTTTTGCTTTCTTTCTAGGCAGTTGTTCTCTGATTTTATTTTTGGCAACAGTTGTTGTTTTTGTTCAGTTGAAAAAGAATTTCAAATGATTGCCTAGAAAAAAAAAAGAAAAGATTCCCTTTGAGTTCTGAATTTAAATCCGAATCGATCAATAGTCAGTTGACCTTCAACCTCTTCACCCCACTCCCCACACACACCTGATTTTTCAAAAAGAAGAATTTAGCATTTTTCAGATTATAGTTGCATATTTTTTGCAACTTTCAAGGACTTACCTAATTTTTGCAATTTTTCTTCATTCAATTTTTATTTCAATTATTTTCCTCTCTTTTTGTTATTCCTTCACTTTTCTTTTCTTCTTTTCTTTCTTTATAATCTCTCACTCTTTATATTTCTTTCATTTTTTTTTACTTAGTATTTCACTACTCTTTGTTTTTCATTCTTTATTTTTTCTCAATAATCCTTCACTCTTTATATTTTTCATTCTTTTTTTCTTTCTTAGTATTTCACTACTCTTTGTTTTTTCCTCTTTCTTTCTTTCTTTCTTTCTTTCTTTCTTTCTTTCTTTCTTTCTTATTTCTTAATAATCACCCCTTTTTTCTCTCATTCATTGTTTCTTAGTATTTTACTGCACTTTTTTTTTGTTTCTTTCTTTCTTTATTCTTTCTTTCTTTTTTCTTTCTTTTTTCTTTCTTTCTTTCTTTCTTCCTTTCTATTTACAATCTTTCTTACTCTCTTTCATTTCTTGTCTTTCTTTCCTTTTCTTACTTGTCGCATCTTTCCACCTACTTTCTTTTCTTCTTTTTCCGTACTTCTTACTTTGGAGCGTCCTGTTTTAAGTCTTTTTCTATTAGACTTTTTTGTTGCCTTTTCTCCATTATGTTTTCCAGCCGAATTTGTTTCCGTCTTTTTTACTTTATCTGTATTAATAAGATCACAACAAGTATAGATAGATAGATAGATAGATAGATAGATAACAAATGGCATATAATTCATAAAAGTCATATAAGCCAAAATCTTTGTGATATATTGAAGAGCAGAGGGACGGGTATAATATATTGTTATTTCTATAACCAGACCTTCACAAAGCATTAAAATTATTCCACAATAGCGCATATTTACTCCTCAATAAATCAGTTAATAATTAAATTAAAACTCACACAAGTCATTACACGGCCATGCATTAACTATTAGAATTTAAAGGTTTTCGATAAATCCATGACACGCCATCCTTGTACTTTGATGAGATTGAGGTTTCAAATCGATTAATAAAAAATATATATATATATATATATATATATATATATATATATATATATATATATTCCAACAAGCAAGACGATAATACCACTAGAATGCAAGGAGTTACAGGGAGTGAAAGAGAATGAGAAGACTTTAGTGGGAAGGACTGAGCAAAGTAAAAAGGGACAAGGTACAACGAGACGGCATTTAAAATTTTGAATACTGTTGTTATCAGGGATGAGAGGAGGCACCGTTGAGTAATAGACAGGGGCTCGGACTGAGGAATCGGAGAGCCGAGTTCGAATTCCAGTCGAATCCGTTACATTCACTTACGTGGTAATACCCTTAGGAAAGGTATGAATCCTCTTCTTCTCCCCCTGCTATGGGTAAGTAACAGGACAGACTAAGTTCTATAGCCTTGGATGACAACTGGTTTACCACAGAAAGAAATGGCAACCTCCTGCCTCTGCAGTCATGTATCGAATGATACATGTATCGAAAGATACATGATCGTCTAAGCGTTTATCACGCATGGCACATAACTGACTGAGTTATCATGGAAGCAGAATATCGGAAGTGCCAAGAATGAAACGTTTAATGTAGAAGTAGCGGTTGCATCTTGCTCGTTAAAAAGCTAAACGGTGAGACACGCTTAAATTCGTGTAGTCGGGACACCAGGGAATAAGGTTCATCAGTTGCCATGAAAATATTTTTAGAAAAGTCACGTCGGTGAGAAAGTGTACTCAAGTCGAGAAGGTCATAATCGATTACATTACAGACGCTTAATTTTAATTTGTATAGTTTAGGATTTACCAAGATCCCGAATCTGTGTTATTTTAATCTATAAATTGTCCATTTTATATTTGTACTTCTGTTTCTTTTGGATGAGAAGGGGAAAAGGGAGGAACTGTTTCGTGACGCCTGAGATAGGGTAACACCCTTAACCCAAAAAGATCCAAATAAAACGTAGAAGACTATTAAAAATAAGTAAAAAAAAAAGGGGGCCAACTGTACTTATCTTGGCAGGCTGAACATTAGGCATTTTGAAAATAAAAAGGTATCTGGGGCGATATTCGAAGATGATAGTTAACTTGAAATACTGAACCAGGATTTGTTCAAAGACATCTCATACTCCTACGATAAGAGTAGTCTTAATTCCCCATTCAACGTTATTCTGGTAAGGGATATTTTGACTTTTACTAAGTTAAAACTTAATAGGTAATATCATACTCTTAGTTTCTTAAGTAACATACCCCAACATAATTGTGTTCAACTAATCCTACACTCAATCAAACCACCCTTAAAGTTCCCTCTCTAAGTTATGGAGAGAATATATATATATATATATATATATATATATATATATATATATATATCCAGGTAAGATGAGAATAAATAGAGTACAATTCAAACGTTCATAACATTTAATTTAAAAGAGGCTTCATACAAAATAGAGCAATATTCTTTATTTTATATATATATATATATATATATATATATATATATATATATATATATATATAAATATTATGAAATGGACAAAGTCCGACAATTATTCTAAGACATTTTTATGCTTATACATTCTTTTTTATAGATAGAAATATTTAAGTAAATGGTCTGTTTATAATAAACAGTATTAACAACATTTACCGGCCTGGATATCATAGGAAGCGTCTTAGAAAATATGGCGGAATCGGTAAAAGCATGTCAGGCTATAGGACGGTTCCATATAGGATACAGGTTCGATTCCTGTTGGAGGGCGCATATTTTCTATGGCAATTTCTCGGACATGCAGCCAGGTAAATGTTTTTAATACTGTTTATTATAAACAGAGAATTTACTTAAATATTTGTATCTATAAACATATCTTTACATATATATATATATATATATATATATATATATATATATATATATATTCACGTTTACATAGTGAAATTTAAAGATTACAGTACATAACTTTAGCGTTTTTCACTTTACAGTGATTTTGTCTTAGAAAAATAAATCCTCTAATGCTGACATTGTGCTAATATCGAAAGTACTCTGAATAAATGAAGATGTATCAACATGGTAATTTTCCCTCTTCCCTTAATAAAGATACTAAGAAGCCTTTCCGTGGTTATGAAAGGATCCTATTGAAAATAAGTAGACAAAATTTGTCTAAATTATTCAATGACATGTCGTAATGAAAATATGCTACCAAAATAAATGTTATATATATATATATATATATATCGAGAGGGAGAGAAAGAGAAAGTGTGCAATGTTCTATAGAAAATTATTTTAACGCCTCAAAAATTAAAACTGTTCATTTTAACGCTTCAAAAATGAAACTGCTTTTAATCCTCTGAGAGAACACTTTTTTTAAATCTTTCATCAGATTGACTTCTTGCGCCTTCTCAGAGTAACGTTTTCAGCTGACATGAAATCGAAACACTATATTGAATCAATTACTAAGTCTGCAGCTAAGAAAGCTGATTCACTGTGTTGCGCTAGACAATGTTTTCTTGTCAGAATCTATTTTATACATTTATAAATCTACCATTCATCCTTGCTTTGAATATTGCTGCCACAATTGGTTTGGTGCTTCTGCTATATAGTTAGATATTAATGATAAAATCCAAAGTAGAATCTCTAATGTTATTGGTGCTGACTTCACTCCCTTTCCCACCACCATAACGTAGCTTCCCTTTTATAAATACTTTTATGGTAATTGTCCTGATGAACCTTTCTTTATCGTATGTAGAGTTTATGAATTCAAGCGCAGTACTAGATTGGCGGATAGGTCTCATCATTTTACTGTTGAAATGGCGAGATGTAATCGTGAGTTGTATGCTAAGAGTTTCTTCTATTGCAATTCTTGCTTGTGGAACTCTCCTACTGCTTCTTGTTTTCCAATCAACTTTGATCTTCAAAAATTTAAACGCAATGTCAATCGTTATCTTCTGTTGTTTTTTTTTATTATTGTACTCTCTCCTGAATAGTAGTTTTTTTTTTCGTATTCTCTAACACTCGTTAATCTCTTGCAACCTAGTGGCTTTAATGTCTTGCTTGGGATAAAATGATTAAAAAAACAAAGTAATAGATTTTTTTTACTTATTAAAGTGACAGACTGTTATCACTTTAAACGTCATTTTTAGTGGATACTCATATTTGAGTAGACGCCCCGTTTATTCATTACACATTATATTTGTTTATTTTCTTCTGCCGGCCTGAACTTGGAGAGGGAAATTAAACAGGAGATAACTGATAACTGACATCCATTAAACATGGCACGTGGACTGAAAAACCTTATTAAAGAAAAATATGGGATATATAATCTAGTTCTTATTTTTAGTATTGCTCAACTATTACTTACCCTGATTCCACTGAGTCTAAGCCCAAAAATTGAACTCACAAACAGCATGTCACTAAATTCACGGACCAACGCTTTAATGCACTATTACCCATGGGGAACTTGGAACCTTAAAACTTAACCTACCTGCTGATTAGTGTTGCTGCTTGTTATGCTTGAGTGTACTCATCGAAACTTTTTTATTCCGAAAAAGAACTTTTTTTATCTTATGACGGTTTTGTTAATGGAATCAGTCTGTAGGTAGGCGGGTAGGTAGTGAAAACACAATAATACGCTGATTACAGTTTACATCGAAATCTTGAAGATACATTGTCACACATATTTTAATATTATATCTTTAAATAAACATATCTAATTCAGCTTTTTATTTCTTTCGGTTTCTATTTTTTATTATTTTTACCGCTATTACTTTATTTATTTGACATCGTATAATGTTTTTGTCTGGATTCTATATGCTACTAAAAGGCATATATATATATATATATATATATATATATATATATATATAATATAATGAAAAACAGACATTTTAGTTGACGTGTTACCATTACAATAATTTAAAAGGATCTCCAAAATAAATTTTAAAGTACCTTAAAGTGTTGATTTTTCATTAAATATTAGCTCTGTTCTTCATAAATGAGAGGGAAAATCCTCTTTTCCTCTTTACAAATTTTTCATTATTATATATATATATATATATATATATATATATAATGACTCCGAAATTTTTTAAAAAGGATTTTTTTATAATACAAATATTGTAATGTTATAATAAACAGTATTAAACAACATTTACCGGCCTGAATGTCAGAGAAATTTTCATAGGAAGTTTCATAGGTTCGACAGGAATCGAACCTGTATCCTATACGGAATCGTCATATAGCCTGACGTGCCTTTAACCAATTGGGCCACAGAGGAGCGTTCGGTTACC